TTTAGAAAATGAAGTCTTCTTGGTTTATGGTGTGCCCCAAATATTGTGCCTTGATAATGGTACCCAGTTTACTTCGAGAAATTTTAGAGAATTTGCTGAAAAATATTCTGTTAAACTTTGGTTCAATGCTAAATATCACCCTCAAATTAATCAGGTAGAGAGAGTAAATCGTGTTATTGGAACAGCTATAAGATCTTATTTGGATGAAATAACTCATAAAAATTGGGATTTGGAGTTATGTAAAATTGGATATGCCATTCGAAGTGCTGTGCATGAGTCCACCGGTTACACACCTAACTACTTAAATTTTGGTCGACATGTACCTCTTAAAGGTAATTATTATGATGAGATTGAAGATCTTCGTGAGTTGGATTTAAATTATTTTGACAGAGATGGTTATGCCAGTGTGCTGGCTCAATTTCCGCAGATTTTTAAGGATGTTCAGCGTCACCTTACGGAAGCGTACAATCACTATGGTCGTTATTACAATTTAAGAAAAATTCCCACTCCTAATTATTCTGTAGGTGATAAAGTTTGGAAACGGCATTATGTGTTATCTTCAGGCCCTAACCAATTCTCTTCCAAATTAGCTCCTCGATGGATTTTATGTAATATAACCGAAGTAATCTCTCCCCTTATTTATAAATTATCCGATGAGAATGGTGCTGATTTGGGTAGATGGCATACCAAAGATTTAAAACCTTTTGCAGAAAACTCTTCTGATACTGATTCTGAACACGAAACGAATGAGGACTAAAATATCGATTATGACCGAGTGAATGATTTATGAATGTGATGCGAATGGTGTATGAATGTTATTTTTCTGTTGTTTTGTTTACTCGATTTTGACAATTAATCTCTAGAGAATCCGATAGTGACATTTTTAAATAATGATGATTAAATTCATTAAACCCGAACGTGACAGGAGAATTATGAGACGCAAGAAAGCCTAAGTGAGAAAATAAGTTGTTTTTTTTCTTTTCGAGAAAATTGTTGGCAGTATATTGTTGGTACATTTTGGTGGACCAGTATAGTTTTGGTGGGTACAAGAAATTTTTTGAGGCAGCATATTTTGTTTTCCAGAGTTTTTGCTAATTGAGGGAAGAACTGTTTAATTTTTGGGTCTTTTAAGTAGTGTGACTATTTTTTGTCAGGCCGAGGTACTTTTACAGTAACACTTGCTACAGCATTCGCGGTCAGCTGTACAGCCTGTGACCATAAGTACCGAGTGGTGTCGGGTCAGCAGCTAAATAACGCCACACAGTGTAAGCATTCGTCTTGGATAGCGTGAACTGTTTGATGATTGTCTTGCACTGTTTGTTTTTATGTAACTGTGTAGTTTTGAATTATTTTTGATCAGGCCGACACTTTGCTGTCGCTATGGCAGGCAAGGCAACGCTATATCGCCTGTAGCACCATTAAGCCCAGTCCAAACGGTATGGTTCAGTTAGTGCAACTGACCATCGGGGTATTCCCATCTCCACTCCCAAATTTCCTTTTACCTTTTCCCCTCTTGAACTTTGGTTTGAGTGACTTTTTCTGCGTACGGTATGTCAGTGCGACATATCGTCGTAAATTTCGATTTTGAGTGTAACTCTGGTTTGCGGCATGGTTGGGACTGGCCCAATTTTCAATATTGCTACCGGGAGCCCGGGGATTTTGTTTGTTTTAGTTCTTGTAACTAACTTAAGTCTGGTGGGGGCTCTAACTCACTAGGGCCAGTCAGGACCCTTTCCTCTTAAAGGATAAATTTGCTTTTCCTGTAGTTAACTTTTCTGACATTTTATTTGCTTATTTGAGGTGTAGCATGACATGGCGTCTGCAAAGGAATTCCCTTATTCCTCTTCATAATTGTCACCATTTAATTTCTTTGTGTTTATGTGGATCTGCAGTGGATATTTTGGGAATAAGGGTTGGAAAATGGTTGAGCTGGAAGACGTTGGTCTGGACATCAAGCGGTGGTTTCGTCGGTTGTGGGTTTGGGGAGTGCAGAATGAGTTTCATTTCGGCACGAGTTTTTGGTATGGAAGGAAGGTGTGAAAATGATGTTTTAATCATCATCTATCTAGTCGGGGTACGCCGCCGGCGCGACAAACAACAACTAGTTGCGAAGGGTACCTTGATCCCATGATACATTGCTCGCGTTGCGATTAAGCTTTTGCTGGTGCTCTCACGACCATAGCGATAAAACGACAATTTATTTTATATTGGTTTTTTATTTTATTCAATTTGGTTTTTGTTTTTTCTGAATAAAAGAAAATGGTATCATGTTCCCATTTTCTTTTTGTAGGAAAAAGGGGAATGTAACGGTTTGATTTTGGGAGTTATAGCTTATTTTGTTAAAATTTAGTAAAGGGGGCTTATTTGCTTAAAATTTCAGTACCAAGTCATTTAAAACCACTATTGGAGTACTTACCTTGTATGTGTGTTTGCTTAAGTGGTAAATTTTGATCTATTGAGACTCTTCGTAACCTAGAGGTTTTTATTGATTTCTTGATTATAATTTAGATTTTTCAGGTATTTCGGGTATAAAGTATTGTAATGTGGACCTGTAATGGCATGATGTGACCGATGTGTTTTTGTTTGAAAATATCATTTAAAATTGTTGTTTTGAGGTTAGGCTTCTTCTTCTAAATGTCACTTATGTAAGTGCTTCAGTGCATTTCACGCGCAGGCAGATTTTGATTTCGGTGACTCTCTCTCTCTTCGAGCTGACATGGAAGACGGCGGTCACGATTTTGTGAATTTTTTAAAATCCGTCAGTTGGGTAGTCATCCTGTCAATTTTTTGAGAAAAAGAGCCCATAAGATCTAGGTAAAACCGTTTTCTTAATCTGCATTGCAAAATTTATCATTATATTCCATTTTAGGCTTTTTTTCTTGGAGATTAGAAATTTATAACCTCAAAGCACATTTTACCATTGTTTTGAAAATCTTCGTGGCTGATTGTTGTGTTGATTTTGCACTGGTGGTCCACTGCATATTCTCCAGACTTGGCCCTGGTTGACGATATTTCGTCCCAAAATACATATTGAACTTGTCAATGTTGATGATTGGAGAATAGTGTCCGTACATTTCCTGAGTGGATCTGGATGATCCATTTGGCATCCAGAACAGTTGTTGCTGATAAAGCTTTTCCTAAGTACCAGTGTAATCTAATGCATGGAGGAGTTAGCCCCGATCAATAAAAATCTCATCGGTCATATCATGTCAACCGTTCCAGGCTCACAAGGTAGATTATAAATTTATTTTAAGAACCTTGTTAATTTATGTTGGAGAACCTGCTTGTAGTATCACTACCGTAGGAGATAAACGGCAGATTTGCTGTGTATGCAGTAATTTTAATTAAACCATCATTATTATTAATTTAAATTTAAAAGTAATTTTAATTAAACCATCGTTATTATTAATTTAAAGTGCCTAATTGTTTCTAAAAATAAACAAGGTGTATTTGGGTAAAATTTTGTGTGTAATTTGTTAATAATTCCTACCTTTTTCTTTTTGACTTCCTGTCGATTTAGTCGCGACTGGCTCCTTCCTACTTCTTTTGATTTTTAAAGCTATTACCATCTTAAACCCAGGCCTAGCGCCGACTGTATGAGCTAACCGAGGTAAGTAACTCAAGTTTTGTACGCTTTGTGCAAAGCTAACGTTATAATATATACATCCTTATATCATATCTGCGTCATTCTGTTGTAACATCATTTATGCATCCACAAATACCAATGATGTATATTAAGATTTTTTAAGTATTTTCGCAAATTGAGTAATTAAGGAATTCCAATTTGGTTTCACATTTTATTATACATCACAAACAATTTGTTAAACATTATTGTGTCATTTCTGCATCTTTATATCAATACATCATTTTGGCGTCCATATATTTTACAGTCCAAATTATTGCCATTTTAACGTCCATTCAAACTATCTTCATTTTTACGTCCATATATTTTAGTACAAATTATCATACTTTTAAAGTCCATAGGTAATTTTATCATATTATTGTTGGAAACAAAATCAGTACCAATAATAAAATTTAAATCATCCATTATAATGGATATGCATATATGCATATCATTTGTTTAATTAGAATATAAGGTGGTTTTTAAGTACACATTATGACTAAAATTTATAATGGTTATTTCTTGGATCATCATACAAGGGGGATATATTTGGGAGATTTTACATTGAAATCTGGATTATACCGCTAAGACAAAAAATTGCGTATTTAAGACTTAACAGATGATTTTACTACTTCCACCGGTCGTATTGTTTATAATATGGATCTGAGATTAAATTTTAATAAAGCTGTTATATATAAAGATTTGACTTTTTGAACAACAATTCAGTTCAAATTTTTACTGTGTAATGCTTTATAATTACTATTTTAAAATTTAATTTCCAATATTACTTTTAAACAGACATGTATACATAAAATGAAACACAGCTTATGTCCATAATATTTATTAAGAAATAATAGATAATTAACATCATATTCAAATATCGCAACAAACAAAAAATACAATCAACATACCATTATTTAGTAGAATTAAATAAAACTTATTATCGTCTTATTTTAAAATAAACGTACAAAAACAAAAATCTATCAAGCGATGGAAAAACGTCGAAAAATAAAAGGTTGAAAATAAAAAAGTTAAAATAAAAGATAGGTTAAAACTAAGGCTTAAAATTTTTATAAACTTTGGCCCTTAAATGCCAAACAGCCGTCCAAAGAAATAAATATATATATTTAAAGAATATTGTAAATTTATTATACTGGATGATATTTTTTGGTCTAATAGGAGATCGTATTGCCTTCAAGTTTTATTATTTAAAGTTTTTTAATAAATGTATTAAATTAAGGCAATCATAGCAAAAATATTAACGAGTAAAGAATCCCATACATTTTTTGTTTTAAAAAAATTGCAGGTTAAATTTACAAATTTATATAACAATTTTTCTTTACGGACCGGGACACCCTAAATAACCAAAATCTAAAAATTATTGTTTAGAGTAGGTATTCTGAACATATACCTTTATTTGTTGCCATGTTTTGTTATCGAAGATCCCTTCGTGTGTGGATTTTAAATTTTCACAATCTTCTTTTTTTAAGGCTCTTTTATTTCTAATATTTTTTTGAAAGTACAAGTTAATTATTTTTTTTTGTTCAGTGCTCCAAGGGATTAGTACTCTTTTAAGTTTTTTTGGCGGCGGTGCTGAAGAAGTTGAAGGGTTTTGCACCAATATTTCTACATTTGTATCTTCGTCATCTGATTCATCTTCATTCACCTCTTCTTCCATATCCATTTCAATTTCATCTAAACTCTTACCTTTGTACTGTCCTGCCTTTCCATTTTCCATTAAAACCAAAAGTTTAGCAATTTTTGCCGTCTGATATATATCATCCGGCAGGCGATATACCTGCTTATGGATGTCTTTCGTATGGCCCATAAAGGTTGCCAATTGCTCAATGTCATTGGGCGATAATTCAAGTATTTGACTCATTGTGGCAAGGTGCTTTCTTAACTTAGTAGACGTAATTGCATTCGGGTTTTTTGCCCCACTTTGTTTAACGTGCTTTTGCATCACTTTATATCCTGTAATTGGAGTTTCACTACGAAGTGTCGGAAAAAGATATAAATTCATTTCGCTAACGAAGTTGGATCTTAACGCTATAAGTACTTCTATATCTTTTTGTACATCCATACTAAATAGCACTGGCACTCCCCGATCGGGTTTGCCTCTAATAACTACTCTTTTAAATTGCTTAACCAAAATTTTTTCTGTAGGCGTTATTGCGTTGCAACTCCCCACCACGTTTTCTGTTTAACAACATTGACCTACAGTACACTACCTCCAAAAGAAGTTTATAGGCCTTTTCATTATTTGGGTTTAATTTAAGCTCTTGCTGCGCTTGGCTAGCCTTTTTCAAAAGGTAGTTTCTAAATAATCGTAAATCGCTCGCCAATGGCACAATTGTTATTTTGTTCCACTTCTTAGTATTTAGACACGCAGCTGCAATAGAAGAAACTTCAAATTTCCACGAATCTTTAAGAAGCTGTTGAAAAGTATTAAAATTTGCTTCCATTTCAGCAGTGTTTACAGTTGAATTAATCTTTCTTTTTTTTAACACAAGTCTGATAGCCAGGCTACAACATTCTTTTAACGACGTCGATATGTTTATGTCAAATGTCGAAGATTTATACTCCTCATTAGTGGCGTCATATCCTGACACAATTTTAGTTGCAATGACAAATGAATCAAAATAAATTGGTTGCAAAGCATCAAATAAATTTTTTATAGTTGGATGTAACTTTCGAAGTTCCACTAAAATCTTTGCAAGTTCACGCATTTTACGAGAACACACATTTACGTGATGCTTTTCTCTATGACTTGTAAGGTACTGTGCCCCATAGCCACAAATTAATGTATCTTGTTTAGCCACAAGTGAGACTTTGTCAGGGCGCATGGTTGGAAAAACAATTTCTTTAAGTCTTTGATCTATGGCATAATGCTTAACTAGCAAGTCTTGAGCATCTGTCTTATGAGAATATTTTGTCTTGTCTCCTGGATTAAGTGGACAACGTTTAACATGACGCCATAACTGTCCTGGTCTAAAATAGCCCAAACAATGTTTACATGGTATACAGTCAGCTGCATCTCGGCCGGGCACGTGACTTTTTTTGACTGGTTTAACACAGGAGCTTAAATTTCTTAAGTGGTTACCCCTTTTTCTTATTGTCTCAATTAATCTTCTTCTCTGCAGGCTTTTTGGTTTTAAACTCAGCATTCTTTGTACCTCACATTCTTGTGAATGATTTCGGACTATATGTCTGGAAAAATTCAGTACTTCTGTTTCGCAGAAATAGCATAGATCTGTAAAACGTTTAACTTTAATCCAATTCTTTTTTTTCTTAATTGTTGGTATCTCGTCATCGCTGCAGCTATCTTCGCTATCACTTCGTATTTGTAAGGTGGAAGGTACTGGATCAGGAAGGTACTGGATCAGGAAAATATTCCGAGTGATCTGAACTGAATGCCTCTGATTCTGAAGATAACCCAATATCGGAAAAAGGTAAACAGTGGTTATCGTCTGCTATATTTTCTTTTACTTTTGACGTTGTAGGATCTAAATGTGTGGACGTTCTCTCAGGACTGTTAACCTTTGCAGCCTCTTCTTCGTATGGATACTTATAGCAGGGTAAATTATTTTTTGTCAAAGCCGTAATATTTATAGAGCTTGAGCTATGGTTATTTATAACAGGGTCATCAAGCATTGCAGCCATTATTTCGTTAGTATTAGGATTGCTGCTGCTTGATAAATTGTTTTCTATTAAAGCTGTGCTATTTATGGAGCTTGGAATTGAATTAAATAGATTTCTTACTACATTATTTTCTGGTATTCTGCTTTTCGGATCATCTAAAATAAAACAAAAGTTCACATACACTGCAAAAACTGTTGCTTTAATTAAAAGGTGGAATTAAGAGTTTGTATGTAAAGGTTTACCTGCACAAGTGTAACTCTCATATTGATTACTTAGAGGAACGACACGGCAACTTTCATCTTGATCTGCGGATATTAGCGCTCCATTAATTATTTTATATTGTTTTATAAAGTTCCCATTTTGCCATATTGTAAATTTACCTGCGTTCTTCAAAGTCACAATGTTTGGACTTAAACCGATGCTTTTATTGCTAATTTCGTTACTAAGAGAGTCTAGGTTTGCAGGATGGTCTATATTATTGGTTTCTCGCTGACCTAGAGCATATGTAATGTTGTACTTTTAAACTTGGCTGGTTAAAAATATTAAACAAGAAAATAGAGCAATATCACATTCTACACAAAAAAAGATTCAAGCCAAATATGCCTATATAGTGTTAAATTGTAATTTTTCAAGTTAAAACTGAAAAATTTATTAATATTTTTCAATAGCTCTTACTGTTTTTAGGTTGTTTATATAAAAAATTATGTTTGGGGGATTTTTAAGGCCTTAAACATAAATATGTGCATATTTTTTACATAATACATAAAGAGCGCTATAACCTATTAAATCTCTATTTTAAGCTCTAATCTTTTTATATTTACTTTTATCGTGAATCACGATTCGTGATTCTATTCTATTAAAAATAATAATAGAGCGATCATTTTTAGAGAAAAAATATGTATCTACATTTTTTTATTTCGATAATACAAACCGTTTTAAATTTTTAAATAACCAAATCGCTTATCAATTTTCATGACATTTACCTAAGAATGTTCAGCTGAAGATATTAAGAAATACTAATTTCTAAAATTAAACTTTTAACACCCTTTTAAATAGTCATATTTGGCTATTATAATAAGTTCATGTGGGGAATTTCGACTTACTTTATGACGCATAAATTACCGTCCACCCTGTATAAATAAAAATTAAAATAAATACAATAATATAAACAACAATTACTTAACTATTTTATTTACGATTATTAGTACATAAACGAAAGTTCTTTATCTATCCTTGCTTTTAAAGTATAATTTTATCTACTCTTGCGGTTAAAGTACTATTTATCTAAATTTATATCTATTTTACATTACTTGAAGTTCACAAAATCAAAAATACCTTAACTTGTGGTGCGGACTTTTATAATTATAACACTAGAACAAAACTTTCATTAAGAATCCCTAGATACAGGCTATCTGGAGTCTCGGCAAATTCCTTGAATATTAAACTCTATAATGTACTAATTAAGGATCAATTAGCTTTTTGTTTTTATTCCATTGAGGAATATTTAAGTAAAATAGCGCTTGTAGACTTCTCCAACAGTTTTTCTTTTGTTGTAAGCCAGTAAACTATTTTCCTGCGACTTTTACCTGTGATATATATTTACTTTTAAATTGTATATATAAATCTATGTTTTAAATTTACCTGTACCTGACTTGCCAAAAATGTATTTTTTTATGTATATTGGTCAAATAAATGTATCTATCTATCTACCATTTTTAGTAACTATTTTTAGTAGCTATAGAAAAAAATTTGGCAGTTAACGATTTTTAAATTTAGCTGCAGGACAAGTGAAATGTGCTGCTATGGTTTCAAATTATATAAATATATAAGAGGGTAATTATCGATGATATTTACTCATTGAAACTTTTAATAAGTAAATATCATCGATAATTACCCTCTTATATATAAGAGGGTAATTATCGATGATATTTACTTATTATATATATACAGTGTGTATCAGCCAAATGGAATAAATTCGATAATACATAAATGGGGGCATGTTCCTAAAAATGCTCGGACACGTCGATTAGTATTTTTAGTTGCGCACTTTTTTCAACAAAATCTTTTTGTACAGGGTATCTCATATATCAGTGGCCAATACCAACTTTAAAATTTCAAATGGAACACCCTGTATTTTATTCAATTTTTGGATTCTTCAGAAAATTATAGACATATTTCACGTACAATGTCCTATACCTATCTTCAAGTGTTTCGGAAATATTAAAAAATTAATTTTAGTGGACCTGATATGAAATAAAAAAAGCTATAAGTTTTGTGTTTGAATTTCGTTAACTGCACATCAGAAAAATGGTTCATTTAATTGAAATGTACAAAATAACAATTCTACAGATGATTGGTTATGGAGATAGAACACGGACAAAAATGGAAGTTGTTCGCTTATTTCAAGAAAAATTTTTAAATTTACCTCCTATATTCCAAGGGACAATGAGTAAAATAGAAAAGCAGTTCGCGAGCTTGGACATTTAAAGCAGATGAAAAAAATAGCTGCAAAAGTAATAAGTGATGATACCAAGTTGGATATTATGCTTGAGTTTGAGGAAAACCCACATACTTCTAGTCGAAAAGCAGCCCCAATGTTCGATGTTAGCCATTCATCGATTTTTCGAACTTTAAAAGAAAATAAAATGCATCCCTATAAAATGATACCAACTCAGGAGCTCACGGAAGACGATTTTGATAGGAGAACGTATTTTTGTGAAGAAATGATGGCAATGTTAGATAACAATGTGATCCAATTACAACATGTTTTGTATTCTGATGAGTCCACCTTTACACTTCATGGTCAAGTTAATCGTCAAAATTGACGCTATTGGTCTAAGGAAAATCCTCACTTGATGAGGGAAGAACATACGCAATATCCTGAGAAGGTTAATGTTTGGGCAGGAATTGTTAGAGATAATATCATAGGTCCCTTTTTTATTGATGGCAATTTAAATGGCAATAATTATTTAGCACTGCTCCAAAATAATATCGTGCCTACTGTAACAAACTTATATCCTGATCCAGCAAACCCACAAGTTCCAGCGAAAATGATTTGGTTTCAGCAAGATGGAGCACCGCCCCATTATGAAATCAATGTATGGCAGTACCTCAAACAAATATTTCCAAATCGGTGGATAGGGAGAAGAGGATCAATGGAATGGCCAGCACGATCCCCTGATCTGACGCCATTAGACTTCTTCCTATGGGGATATGTCAAAAGTATTGTATACAAAACCAAACCCCTCGACTTAGCTGACTTAATAATACGAATAACGCTGGCGATTAGATCGGTCACACCTCAGATGTTGAGTAACGTTAGAAGTAATTTCTATTTAAGATTAGGATGTTACCAAGTCGTTCTCGGCGAGCATTTTGAACATCTCCTACATTGACAATTGTTCTTTTTTGTTGTTTACAATATGAAAAAATAAACAGTATAACTTATTCGTTTTTCAGTGTTGTAGCAATTTTATGTAATTAAATAATTATAATTATGATAATTATCGTTCTTTAATGTTAATTTTTCAATATTTCCAAAACAGTTGAAGATAGGTATAGGACATTGTACATGAAATATGTCTATAATTTTCTGAAGAATCTAAAAATTGAATAAAATACAGGGTGTTCCATTTGAAATTTTAAAGTTGGTATTGGCCACTGATATATGAGATACCCTGTACAAAAAGATTTTGTTGAAAAAAGTGCGCAACTAAAAATACTAATCGACGTGTCCGAGCATTTTTAGGAACATGCCCCCATTTATGTATTATCGAATTTATTCCATTTGGCTGATACACACTGTATATATATATATGCCTACAAGACAATTATCGCGATAATTGTCTACTAGGAATCGATAATTCCATTGTATCTACGTATCCATGGCAATTATTAAAATAATAAAAATAACGTCAGTTTTTATTTTAATGTGACAGTTATTTAAAATGTCACGTTTCGGTAAAGAATCATTTGAATCAATTATTGAATAATGTTAAAGGAAGTTTTGTGTTGAAATTAAAATGAAAATGTTATTCTTTGATTTAATTAGTTTATTCGTGTAATTATCTAAACAAATTACACTCGTGCATAAAAATAATCAGATAATTTTGCATTCAAGCATATTGCCTTTTAAAAAATGCATTAGGAATTTTCATATTTTGAGGAAAGGGCCCTCCACCTTCGGTGTCTTTCCAAAATATGAAAATGAACTCTGCTATGCTTTCAAGCAAAATTATCGATAATTTTTAAGCACTCCCGATAATTAATCATACCTCGAGTTATATTTAGTGAGAAAATACCTATAATGAATTTTAGGATTTAACGAATTGTCAGTTTGAAATTTGAAATTAAAATGTGCTTTAAAATATAAAAAGACTTTAATAAACCAAACTTAGCTTAATTTTATTATCGTTTACACCAACCCATCGATCTTTTAGAGTTTATAATTTCTTATTTTAATCATTTAACAAACACAGTCAACAAATGTCAAATCAAGAAAAGTGTCAAGGTGATAAAAAATATTGTCGCTGTGATAAAATGCGTAACATTTTATTGGTTCTAATTATAATAAATTGTATTGTCACTTATTTATTGTTAAATTTTCACTTTTTAATTAAGGTACTTGTAAGATTTCTATAGTCTAAGCGAAGTCAATTGAAACAGTACGAAATATAGGGTGCAATAAATAAAGTGCATCACCCATTAATATAGTACACAGTAAAACAATGAAATATATGTTGACCATCCTCGTATAAAGATTGTTTTAAAAACAATGCTTTTTATAAGAATCAACGTGGACTTGATGCAGACCTGTCATAAATTAGGCTGATGCCATTGGTCATTGTCATATTCTTATTGGTCAAATATTTGCCTAGATACAAATGCATAATTTCGGCGAAATCATTTTGCAGGTGCACCAAACAAGTGGCAATATTCAGTGTCATAGCATCTTAAGTTCGGTAGCATCGATTGTCGAGATATTAGATTGCGATTATTATATAATATAAGAAAATATTATAAAGCAATAAAAACACAATTAGGTACACTACAAATCTATTAATATTTTTGTTTATATAAAATGTACATGTTGTGGGAAATTTAATTAATTAAATTTAATGTCGTATCGCACGCACGCTCCACAAAGGAAATGCCGAAGATGTTTAAACTTTTAGTTATTTTGCTGTTTCAATAGACTTCGAATACAACAATGCATGAGTGAAATATTCGCTATAATCAAGCGATAATTGTACTGTATATAAGAGTGTAATTTTCATTTTAATTATCCTACTAAGTACTCACTTAGTAAATACATAAATTTACGCTTAATATTAATATTATTTTAAGGGACATTCCACGTCAAATCGAACACAATAATGGAAAAAATTCCCCACAATATCTTTTTCTTAAATTTTGTGTAGATTATAATCTAATAATTATTTATAGCCAAAAATCTTAATTTTGAAGGTTTAACGATAATTAAAATTAATTCGCT